TGTGTGTGTGTGTGTGTGTGTGTGTGTGTGTGTGTTCGCTCTGACCTGGAATAACCCCCTCTTCTCGGTCCCCAGACCACCACTTCTATGACGAGTCCAAGCCCTTCACTTGCCTGGACGGCTCGGCCACCATCCCCTCGGATCAGGTCAACGACGATTACTGTGACTGCCAGGATGGCTCCGACGAGCCCGGTGAGCTGTGAGCTCTATCGCCGTTTGTTCCTGATGCGTTTCGGGAGCACCTACTTAGTGCCAGGCCCTGGCGCAGTAACCAGTAACCGCTAGTGCCTGGCCCAGCCTTTCCCTGGCTCCCTGTGGACAGGAAGGCAGGCCCCAAAGTGTGTAGGCAGCGTTCTGTGGAGGGAGCCTCAGGCCCTCACCCAGCCTGGGGTTTGGACCCACTTTCTGGAGGATCATGCAGATTCCAAGGGGGAAGGTGGGGTAGGGCAGAAGGGCAGTCTGGCCAGATACCAGAGGTAAAGGTGGGAGCAGCTTGTTTTGAAGGTGCAGGTGTGTGCATGGCCCTGGTGGCATAGTGGGCTGAGCTGCTAACCTAAGGTGACCAGACGTCCCGCTTTTGGCAGGGTAGTCCCAATTTTTGGCGTTTTTAAAAAGTCCCGGTTTTTGGAAAGAATGCATGACAAGCTAGGGAACAGTCTATTTGGTCCCTATAGACCAAATTTTTAATCAAGAACACCGCCCCACCCGCCCCCGTCAATGGTGTCCTGCTTTAAATCTGGTCACCTTATGCTAACCACAAGTTTGAAACTACCAGTCTCTGCGCCAGAGAAAGGTGAGGCTTTCTGCCCCCATAGTAACTTACAGTCACAATTGAAACTCACAGGTTGCTGTAAGTCAGAATTGACCCAGTGGCAGCAAGCTTTGGGTGTTTGTTTGTGTGTCTGTAGGTGGAGGTGGAGGCTGGCCGAGGGAGAGGTTTGGGTCTAGGCCCTGTGTCTTGGTGTGCTGTGTGCCTGGGTGGGGAGAGTAGAGTTCTGTTGGCACTGACCCTTCTCAGCAATTGCCGCCTCCCTCACCAACCCCAGGCACGGCCGCCTGTCCTAACGGCAGCTTCCACTGCACCAACACTGGCTATAAGCCCCTGTACATCCCCTCCAGCCGAGTCAACGATGGAATTTGTGGTGAGTGAGGGCTGGGGGAAGGGGTGGCGGGTGCAACGGGATAACCGGCCCTGCCATGTCTGATGGCATCCCGCCTTTGCCTTCAGACTGCTGTGACGGGACGGATGAATACAACAGCGGCATCATCTGCGAGAACACCTGCAAGTACGTGGGTGACACCCCCTCCCCCCAATGAATCAGACTCCTCTTTTCTGCTTTTGCTGTGGTCACATGCTTACGCTGTGCCAGGCACCTGGTGAGCCCTTTACCACAGTTTTCTCTGGCCTGGGAGCAGGTGCCATCCTTCCCCTAATCAGCAGGTGGAAAAAGAAAACTCTGACTGTTACTGACGCACAGCGGCCCTGTAGCACAGGGTAGAACTGCCCCTGTGGGTTTCCAAGACTGTAACTCTTTATAGGAGCGGGAAGCCTCATCTCTCTTTTGTGGAGTGGCGGGTGGTTTCGAACTGCTGGCCTTGTGGTGAGCAGATCAACGTGTAACCGCTATGCCACCTGATGCAGACAGACACTCTGAAAGGAAAACCGCTCTCCCAGCGTCATGGCACTGGGAACTGGCAGGGCCAGGACGAGAACTCGCAGTATTTCGTAGTCGCATTGTGCAGCAGAGCCCGAAAGTCTAAAAGCCTGCGGGCGGGTAATCCAAGTGACAGGAGTGGGGGATTGGGTTAGATCTAGGGACAGCTGTGCCCACCCTGATGGTTGATGGCAACCCCTCCCCCTCAAACACCAAAAACACACCTCCCTGCTCTCCCGT